AAACGCGAGAAATTATATCAGACCAGCGGCAGTGATATTGTTTGATGCATGTATTGATGTATGATAATAAGGTGATTGGTATGCTGACCATCATCAAAAAAATATTAAAAATAATTTTAAAAGTGGTTAAAATAGTAACCACCGCACCTGAACGGTAAAAAAAAAAGTTGTTAGCATACTAACCACGGCCCCTCAAAGAGTTAAAGCACCATTTTTTTTAAAATTCATTTTTAATTAGTTCGGATTAAATGCTGTCACCTAAAATACGGTTAGGATGAAATATTTTCGACTGATATAATGTCGGCTACAATATTTTCGGCTTTTAAATAGTCCTTCACAAAAATTACAAATATTTAGCTGATTGATAGTCGGCGGAATCAACATGTAAAAATTTCGGTGGAGTTGTTACGTGGCTCAATCGATAACCTTATAGATTTCTTACAAATAAAAAGGTTATTAAGACCCAAGTACGCAAATGATATATGTATTTTTGTACAACATTATTACATTTTAATACTAACTAAGAAAAACAATTTAAACTTCTTCAATAGGTAATACTGCCCAAGGTCCGCCCAATGGATTTCGTGTCCCGGTGCAGAATTTTGAGGGGCCCCATATATGTGTGTATAAATAAATCTATTTTTATTTATTTGATCTTCTAACGGACTTTATTTTTATATAATTTTATAAACCTTAAGGCCTTGTTAGAAATCTAAATTTGTATGTATACATTAATAAAATAAAATTTGTATTTTAATATTAGACACACAATGAGTAGGTAACTACTGGCTACTTAAGTATAAACAATATACGACATTATGCAGGAATATACGATGTTGTATTCAGTATAATTTTTGTAAATAAATGCCTGTGAAAAAAAAATTACCTATATCGGCTATCAGGCTTGTTTTTAAAATTCAGATAAGAGCATTTTATTATTATAATGATCCATGGATAAATGTGAAATTTGATTTGATACAAAATGTTTAAATATTAATTTCGGATATTTATCGAGTAAAGAGAATAATAGATGCTCTTAACATAATTGTATTGGAATTGGGAACTTCAAGTTCATCAGTATAATCAATTGCAATCGTTAAAAAATAATACTAAATAAACACTTACAAATAAAATATTATTTAGTAAAAAAATCAGAGTGAATAATTACCTAATTCTACAATTGGGACTTCCAAAATAGTTTGTTCCACTGAGTTTTCAGTATTGGAATTGAAAACTTCAGATTCATCTATACAATTATTATAGCAAACATTTTGTATTATATTATAGTTAAAAAAATAGCTGTATGCTTAAAATACATACTGAATATGTACTTAGTTTTAAGAATGTATATAATTTTTAAAATAATTTTATATTTTAACGGTGCGTCGGTGCATGGTGCATGACGTACTTAAGTACTTCAAGTTCAAAATAAAATAAGAAATAAAGAGCATTCATAAATACATAAGAATAGAATTTAGCTTTTAGTCTGTAAGTAGGTAATTGAATAATACAAGAAGAAAATTTTTGATAATTATAATTGAAAATATTTAAATTAAATGACAGTTGACTATAATTAGGAGATTTGTGTAAAAGGGATTACGCCCACGCCTACGGGTCTATGAAGTGTTTATAACAATAATTTATTCACCCAAAGTCGGAGGTCTAGGCGTCTAGCTCACTATTTGATAACTACATACTTTATTATTAATTAAAAATTAGGACTTGAACATAGGTGCTTAAGCCTAATCATTTAAAAATCGAACTCATCTTTTGAACAAATTAATTTAATTAGGTTTTTATTATTTGCACATTGCAACAATAATTCTCTTTTTTTCTTGGCGTTTCTTCGAACCAGATTTATATTTATGTTTATTATTCATTAAAAAATAACATGTTTATGGTTAGGTATATGTACCCTTAAAAAGTTAGGCACAAAGTATACAATTAATATTATAATAGTCGCAAATCTGAAATTGTAGACGCACCACAAACATGAATATTTTAGATCACAAATAAGTAGATAGGTAGTAGGTATCTACTAAAAAAAAAAATAAAACAGACGGGTTGCACTCAGGGAGTGCCGGCAGAAGTGAAAACTTGAATATTAACGTCGTGCATTTTTGATATTTTGGAATGGTTAGGGAATAATTTTGCACAAATTGCTTTAATTATCATTTATCAGTATAAAAGTACTATCATCATTTATGTGGTAAAATACAATATTCACTTATTGCGCTAACGTACACAAACATGGCAATTTATATTACATTAAAAATTTAACACTTCAGAACTATTACAATTATTTTACATTAAAAGCGAGTTTAACATTTTTTAGCCATCACAAAAAGTGCACAACGCCGCTAAAGAAGTTTTCACTTCAAAAAAATAAACATTAACATATTAACCACAATGAAAACTGTCTACTTAATATTTGCAAATGGATACGATAGTTGAATAATAATAATAATAATAATAATAATAATAATAATAATTATTAGCCAAAAAAATTACAATTTCCAGTAAGTGATCTATGATTAATAACATAGATAGTTAAATCGCCCATCTCACCACTGAGGATAACCTCTTATCAGTAATGATCGAGTACCTACTATTAAAAGATAAGTATTAATTTATAAATTTTATAATATTTTTGGTATTTTCGTAAAAACTGCGTCATATTTGACTATAATTCAAAAACATAAATATTCATACCTATTATAATACTGCCCTGCTAAGCAAAAGTGCCGTAATTCGAAAAAAAATTTAAAAATTAGTTAGATCTGATAGGTTTATCAGTTTTACACTATAAATGTATATAAAATATCACTTAAATTACTATAAATAGGCAATAAAATGAATAATTTAGATTTTAAAACGCCGTAGGTAGCAAAAAAAATTAGAAGTATTAAGTAAGAACGCCGCATCTTATACTTGCTAAGTATAAACGCCGTAAATATGTTTATACATACGACGTTTTCGCATAACATTTCCATGTTCTACCTGTGTTACGGCGTTATTATCTAACATTTCAACCTTTTTTCTGAAGTAACGGCAATATATTATATTTAATATAATAATTAATTTAATAGTTTCCAAAGTGCTATCTTCAATATTATTTGGAAAGTTTATGATTTTATTATGGTTGTTTTATCTTATCAATATATATTAAGATAAAATCATTATAGTAATGTGACTTTTTTTCTGATTATTATTTGTCGTCAGTATTATATGCACGGTTGTCGCCAATTATTATACGTACTTTATTTTATTACGACGACTTTAGTGTTGTACTTTTATTTTAAACAATTTAATTAATTATGAATTCACAAGATTTTGTTAAAGCTGTAGGAGCAGCAAATAAATCAAGAGTAGGTAGATGTAAAAATTATGAATTATTTTTATTTTTATTTATGGATAGATTACAAATCACAACAAAAACTTCATAAATCATCAAATCGTGTATTATTAAAAAATGTCGTTTCTATAAAAGCTGTTCGAAATAAATTTATTTTGTACACGAAATTTAATTTTGAAGAAGAATATGCAGAGCTTGATTTTTTAAAGAATAGTGTTATGAAAGTACTAAATCTAATAGGCTAACAAATAATAAAGGTTAAATAAAATGAAAAATACAAAACTACCATTTTTCTCAAAACCAATAATTTGGTTTTTACGGCACTTTTGCTTATCAGGGCACTGGGCAGTATAGCAGTAATTATTAATTAGTAATATAATAATAAAAACATAAATTGTATTATTGCAATAAATAAATATAATGTAAAGAAGTACAGAAAAAATGGAATAGATAAACAAATAAATACTCTACATTATTCAATATATACACCGGTAACCGGCAGTGGTGTATTTACGATTTTGGCGCCCTAGGTACACACATTTTGGCTCATTGTCACAAAAACCTTTTAAGCCCCCTCTAATTTACAATTTACTTTTTGTCTCAGTTAATAGTGCAGGGCTAGAAACCGGTATAACCCGTTATAAAACCAAAACCGAGAACAAAATCAAAACCGAAACCAAAAAAAATTGGAAACCGGTATTAAATTAAATACCGACTAGAAAAAAAATTGGATACCTGTATTATAATTAAAAACCGAAAATATAATTTAAAAAACGGTATTTTTTTTGAAAATCTTTGTATCTTGATATTTTAGAAAGTTTACTTTACAGTTTTACACAATAGGCGATCGAATGCTCGTCCAGCGATTCAAAAAAATTAAGAAATGATAAAGCTCTAGTGGTTTTACAATGGTGTTTTTTTTTGTATATCCTGTACAAAATTTCTACCAGAAGGAGTGTTTCGATTTCAACATATAGCACTTTATCTTTTAGCAAATTGGATCAAGATGATACTTTATAGAGGTCATTTTTAGATTTCATCAATAGTTATTTAATGCCACGGTAAAAACCACCAAAAAATTACGAACCGCTAAAAATTGGATTTTAATTTCTAACGCTTTATTTATGAAAATAGAAACGAATAAAAAATAATAATATTATAATATTAATTCAACTTACATGATATAATAATAGTAGTATGATTTGAGCGGTTCAAATACACACTAGTCCCTAGTGTAGTAGTGTGCAACAAAAAAATTGTTCTATAATATTATCATTATTAATAAAACGAATAAACCCAATTAAATAACATTTACCACTTGTGTCAGTGGATTCGTCAATTTGAAGACAAAACCCATTTGAAGCTTTAATTTTTTCCCCCACATTTTTTTCCATGTCTTCTGACATATCTTGGACACGTCTACGAATAGTATTATTCGAAAGAGGTATTTTTTTATTTCGGCTTCAGCCTCACTACCAAACATAATACGCACTATTTCTGAACAGGCTGGAAGAATTAAAGATTCACCTATTGTACGTGGTTTTTTATTTTCAACGTTTAATTCTGCCACTTTAACTAGCTTCAAGTGCTTTATTAGGAATAGTAACCTTTTTCCTAACCTAACCTGATTCTTTATTTTGTGAACTTAATAGTTGTTTGAAGTATAGTCAATATTTTTATTAGCTAAATGATCATGTTTTTTTAATAAATGACGCTTCAATTTACTTGGAACCATAGCTAAGTTGGATAATTTCACTCCACATACAATGCATTCTGGTTGAGGACAATTTTCATTTCCATACCAAGTAAATCCCATAGCTAAGTAACTAATATTATATAAACGTATTTTATTTAAACCAGTAAAACTAGAACTAGCTTGATTTGATTCACCAGATGTTGATTCAATACTATGGTTAGTTGAAATTTCGTCTTCATTTAATTTTCGTTTTTTAACAATAAATTTATCCATTATTTTAACTAAAATTTAATTATATAAAATTATAAAATATCTAGACACGACTGAAATATATATGTTTCACAATGATGACTAAAACCAGACTGATTGTACTGAAATTGTTAGTATACCTATAATATTAAATTACTATTGTCGATACATGTTTTACAAAAATTAAGATAAGATAAAAGCACAAGACATCGAAGCGATAGCAATGAAACTGGTGTATGAACATTAAAATAGATCGAACATCGTAATATTTCTACAAAATATATGAAACACGATAGGTTTTATATTATTATAGTCCGTTTTATTTCTCACAGTGCTATACTTTTAATGAAATTGTAAAAAAATATTTCAAATAATTTCGCGGCACCTTGGTTGGGAATCTCTGAGTAGTATGAATTTGGGGCTTCTGAGTTAATTTTTACGGGGAGATGAAAAAAGTTCAAGGGGGAAAGTCCCGCTTGCAGCACATTCGATCACCGTATAGGTAAAAATTCTAAAAAGTACGGTTGGGACTTCATCTGAGTTAATTTTTACGGGGAGATGAAAAAAGTTTAAGCAGGAAAGTCCGCCTTGCAGCACATTCGATCACCGTATAGGTAAAAATTCTAAAAGTATGGTTGGGGCTTCTGAGTTAATTTTTACAGGGAGATGAAAAAAGTTCAAGGGGGAAAGTCCCCCTTGCAGCACATTCGATCACCGTATAGGTAAAAATTCTAAAAAGTATGGTTGACGGTACTGAGTTAATTTTTACGGGGAGATGAAAAAATTTCAAGGAGGATTGTATGCCTTACAGTGAAACCAATCTATCTAAAATTTACTAGAGAAAATGCAAATTTTAATTTGTCAAACAAGATTTTATTTAAAACATTTAGTCAGTTACTATCGATCCGTCGTACAATCAAGTTGTGTTATTTTTTTTTCAGTGCATTATCTTATTGAATCGATTTTTTTCAACTAACTATTTTAAGTTTTATTAAAAAACCATGAATTTACAGAAGTTTTCTAACGATTTTCCTTCATTGGTTTATTTAGTTAGAAATAATTCGTATCCAGTACATTCAGATTTTACTACATTTTTATCGAGATTAAAAACGTATAATTCATTTCCATCTACTTTATGTCAAAATAAATATTCGTTATCTGAGGCTGGATTTAAGTATTCAGGAACTGCTGACATAGTCGAATGTTTTTGTTGCCGACTGGTGTTACAAAAATGAACTAAAGATGACATTCCGTTTGTTGAACATGCAAAATGGAATCCTAAATGTACATTTGTTTTACTTTGTAAGGGTAATGAATTTATAGAAAATGTAAAAAACGAATATGTAAAATCTACACATGTTTGTGATTGTAATCAGTCTAAATCATAATATGTTATCATTAACTAGTTTACTTGTTTAAATAAATTATATTTTAATAATTTGTAATAATTTATAAATTAATATTGTATTAATCAACTTAAATGCGTTAATAATTGATTTTATATCTCGTTGACTTGTAGTCGAGTCGGATAACGCGTCAAGTTGTAATTCAATATAGTAGGTAGGTTTAAAATTCAAGTTACAGGTTCAACGGTTCAAGTAAGTATCCCCTCTCTACGCGTTATCTGATTTGGTTTCATGGTCACTTTAGTTTTTTATATCGATATCAGACAAATAAGTTTAGTATATAATAATACAGGATTCAAGTAATATACTCAGTTTTCAAATATGTGTGTTGTAACGATCATCCGTTATTCTATTTCACGTTTTTTGAAGTTCAAACATTTTTTTACATTTATACGTTTTTTTTTTTTTGAAAAAAATCATAAAAAATCGACTATATCAAAAAGAACACGTCGCAGTACAATATGATTCCAATTGTTGTTTCAAAGTCAGTAATCGATATACGACCTCTTAGCAAGAAAAGTGTAACTGTTGGATTTTTGGTTGATAAAAATATGTTTACTGTTATTATATTACTCCAATGTAATTTCGCAAAAAAAATGCTAATGATCGATTTAATACAGTGGTATACACTAATTTCAGATTCAATTTATAGCTCAATAACTAATAATCTACATACTAATAATAGTAAACGTATAAAAATAACAGATAGCATATATTATACAGTTAATTTAAATCAGTTTACTATTAAATTGTATGTTAATAACCAATTTATCACGTTATCATATAATGATCTCCATCGGATAAAAGAATTACAAGAATGTATTGATTCGTATATTGTTGAAAAGCAGAAAAAGTTGGTTTCATATCAGTCAATTTTTGATACAGTGTATTCATTAATTAAAGCAAACATTAATATTTTACCATTATCTTGTCAGCGAAATGATTTTACAAACCAGTACATACAAAACTTTGATTTTAGCAATTGTTTTGTACAGAACGATGATTTCAGTTTTATGTATGAAATACTTCAATTCCACAATAATTCTTTATCAGATATAATATTAAATGATATTAAAATATAACGTTATGTAGTTACAATCTACGACTGCTTTATCACCAGCTGCAGGTTGTTTACGAGTTGCGATCAGACAGCAGTGTAACCTTCGTTATCACATATTCTTCGTATCATTGTTAACCGTGCTTGTAATCAACCACAGATATATACAATAACTAGATAGCTAACTGATTATATCTGACGCACTATGATTAAGAAGCCGAACGCCATATGCGTGGTAGTCAATGTTTTTGTTTGTTATCACTTTATCAATTCGAATTTATCATCATATTATTGTACAGATATTATATCAATAATTAATTGTATAAATCTGTGTATTATGTACAGTCAATTATTGCTACCTAATATTATAATTTTGATTTTTCATAAAACAAATTGTTTTATGTGATTTTTATTTTTTAAGTAGGTACTTAATTAAATATGCCGACTACCTGTTCAGCTCATCGCTGTACAAATAGAGCAAAATCGGGGTCAAATATACATTTTTTTAGATTTCCCCTAAGTGATGCCGAAAGATTAAAAGGTTGGTTAAACGCTATTGGTCGCATAGGATTTGTGCCAAATGCTGGAAGTCGCTTATGTAGTGATCATTTTGAACGATCAGACTTTTATGATAATCCAGGAGGAAGTTACAAATTAACATTGAAAAATTATGCTATACCATCAGTTTTTGAACCATCAGTTCACTCCACGTTATTGCCTACTAAACTCTTTTCAAACGAACCACAAAAAAAAAAAAAATGTAATACCTACAATTTAATTTATAAGTTACCCAACAATTAATAGGTAAATTGTTTGTTATATTTATAGGTATATCAAGTGAAGATTTACCAATAAATCTTAGTGCTAGATGTGCCCCAGATGACGTTGAGGTCTTAAATGATTCCTGTTTATTAACTCCAGTAAAATTACCACTAATTATAACACCATCCAAACGTAGTTTTAATCAATTAACTTTACCATCTCCTCAAAGAACTCCAACCAGGTACAGAAGGAAAATTAAATTATTACAACAAAAAGTTCGAAGGCAAAATAAAACCATTAAATCATTAAAAGACCTTTTGAAAAATATAAGAAATCAAGGTATGTTATCAGCAGAGTATGAAGATATTATGCTTGATAAATTTGGTGGAATGTCAGCTGAAATTTTTAAGCATGAATTAAAAAATATTGGACGCAAACCTAAAGGCCGCCGCTATAGCACAGACATTAAAGAGTTTGCACTTACTCTGCACTATTATTCACCTAAGGCTTATGCATTTTGTCGGTTAGATTTTTGCTTGCTTATAGAATTTTATGATGCATTACAAAAATGTAAACTATTTTTGTATTTGACTATATTTATATTGTATTCATTTAGGTCCATCTTGAGTTTACCACATGTATCAGCCATAAGAAACTGGACATCCTCTGTTAACGGAGAACCTGGATTTTTGAAAGAAGTGTTGGCCTGTCTTGAACAATTACCAAACGATTATAAAGACTGTAATTTAGTTTTAGATGGAATGGCTATCAAAAAACAAATCATTTGGGACAAAAAAGCTAATAAATTTGTGGGTTTTTCTGATTATGGTAGTCAATTGGATTTAGAAGGTAATAATATGCCAGCTACTGAAGTACTTGTATTTATGTTGATAAATTTAAAAGGAAAATGGAAATGTCCCATTGGATATTTTTTTCAAAACAAAATCAATGCTGTCACCCAAGCTGAATTGATAAAATCTGCTTTATCAATTACACATAATGCTGGTTTAAGAGTTTGGGGCATAACCTGTGACGGTGCTTTCACAAATTTTTCTTCTATGAAAATATTAGGCTGTAAATTTCAAGATATTTCATCGTACACAGAGTTAAAAAGTTGGATAAATCACCCTATTTCTAATGAGAAAGTATTCTTTATACCAGACCCTTGTCACATGTTAAAATTGGCCCGTAATTCTTTAGGTAATGCTAAAGTAATAATTACAAATAAAGGAGTGGTTAAGTGGGACTATATTGAAAATTTGTTTGAAGTTCAATCAGATTTATCATTAAAATTAGGTAATAAATTGAGTCAAGCTCATGTTATGTGGCAGCAAAATAAGATGAAGGTCAAATTAGCTGCTCAAACATTGAGTTCATCGACAGCAGATGCATTGTTGTTTATGAAAAATATTCATATGGATGGATTTCATAATGTTGATGAAACTATAACATTTTGCCGAAACATTGATCGTCTGTTTGATTTCTTAAATTCAAGAAATCCATTTGCAAAAGGTTATAAATCCGCCATCTTTCCTTCCAACCTAGAATATTTAGAATCAGTAATTATTCCACTAGTAGATTATTTGTTCACATTGCAGGTGAAAAATAACAATGATACCATAAGTCATATTTACACAACTTCTAAAAAGACGTTTGTAATTGGTTTTGCGTTAGCTGTTAAATCGATATTCTCCATAGCAAAATTACTATTTGAAGAAAATCAAAATTTTAAATATATATTATCTTATCAGTTTTCACAAGACCACATTGAAATTTTATTTTCTCGATTTAGACAACGA